ATGTCTGCTACTCAGTCCTGGGCTGCTGCATCCTCTGACAGGTTGGGGGGGCAAGGGTGATGAAAGCACCCCTCAGGAGGGGAAGACATGTGTGTGCGTGTCAAGGGGTGGCAGGGTTGGCATGAGCTATTTCCCTCTGTGACTGTCAGAACCTAGGAAGCAGGGCCAGGTTATCCAGCAATGCAGGGGGCTGAGGGGTGGGGCAGTTGAGGAAGAGGATCCCTTCCTTCCTCAGATCAGGAAACTGAAATGAGCCACCACCTGGGTCTTCAGCAAAAGCCTCTGAAAGGCTGTTTCAGGGTGTGGACACTGGGGCCTGATCCTTTCCCATACCCCCTTAGCCAGTGGGCTTTGGCAGGGGCTGCAAAGCCCCAGTTTAAAAAACAAAACAAAACAGGAGCAAGCTGGAACCTTCCAGGCTGCTCGGGATGCTAAGGTTGCGGTGACGTGGGGGTGGGGCTGGTCCCTGGAGTACCTAGTGTCCCACCCTAGGGCTCTGGTGCATCTGCCGCGGGGGTGCTGGTGAGTCACGCCTGTCAGTCTGACAATAAAGCCGGGCTCCATGACTCTGGCGGCAGCAGAGCATTCTGCCCACCTGTGGGCACACCCAGATTGCATTTGCTGAAATAAATTGCTGGAGAAAATAAATCCTGCACACATGATTAATGGGAGGCAGGGAGGCAGGCAGCCGCCACAAAGAGCCGCTGGGGAGCAGAGTGACAGTCGGGCACAAAGCCAGCGCAGCCGTGGGGCCTTCGGGAATGGGCTCTGGTGACTGCGCAAGCCACCAGGTCACTGTGGCCCTGGCACTGCCACCAAACGGGGCGTCTGAGGCTGCAAGCCAACAAGACCCCGGGGGCTCTGACAAACCCCTGGCTTGACTCTCCACCATTGTGGGCAGGGCAGAGGGGGCCGATCCTGAGTTTGGAGCCCCCCAGACCTGGGCCTGACTGTCCCTGGTGACGGTGGCTGGTGGGGGTGGGGTGGTGGGCTTCCGTGGGCCAGAGTAAGGAAGTAAAACCAAGGTCTCAGGAGCAGAGACGAGGGCTGTGGAGAAAGATACTTCTCTACCGGCCAGTGGTGAGTCCTTGATGAGTCCTTGACCTCCTCTCTGAGCCTCAGTCTCCTCATCTGCTCAATGAAGCTAGTACCCGTGCCTCCCACGTAAGGCAGTTGAGAGTCGCAGCTGAGCCCATCTACGCATGGATGTGGGGCACACAGGGAACTGTACCAGCCAATGAAGGCATAGGCAGCATCTCTGATATGCCTGTGTTGTTTCAGGGACTGGGGTACAGTCCCTGCGCACATGGGGCTTTTAGGCTGGTGCCAGGCAAATGTTGATGAAATAATAACGGTATAGTATATATAATTTCAAATGCACAAGGTGCTGTTAAGAAGACCTGTATGCTGGGGGACACAGGCAGAGGCGTGACAGTCTGGAGGTAAAGACAGGCTTCTCCAGAACACTGAACACAAGTGAATGTGAGGCAAAAATGCAAAAGTTCAGCGGTGCATTCTGTTGGTGAGGTTGTGGAGAAAGTCTGGTCATTGCCTGGGAAGGGCAAACAGTCCAAGCCCCATGCAGGGCAACTAGCAATACCTGCTCAAGTACCTACCCAAGTGACACGTGCTCTCACTCTGTGACTAGTACTCTCTCTCAGGGCATTTTATCCTACCTATCCATACAAAAACATGCAACCACCTAGGTACTCATCAAGAAGTGAATGGATGACATAGACTGTGTGTAGCTACACAGGGCTTCCCTGGCGGCTCAGAAAGTAAAGAATCTGTCTACAATGCAAAAGACTCGGGTTTGATCCTTGGGTTGGGAAAATCCCCTGGAGGAGGGCGTGGCAACCCACTCTAGTATTCTTGCCAGGAAAATCCCATGGATAGAGGAGCCTGGTGGGCTACAGACCATGAGGTCCCAAAGAGCTGGACATGACTGAGCATGCATGTAGCCACACACTGGAATACAATACAGCTGGAAAAAAGGAACAAGGGGTCTACTGTTATGGAAAGAATGTCAAGATAGATTTAGTGAAGACAAAGTGTACATAATATGCTTCCTTTTGTGTAAGAATGGGTGGGTGGGGGAATAAGAGCATAGATTTTAACTTTGTGCTGAAGACTTCATAAGAAATTAATAAAAGTGCTACCTGGCAGGTGTGTGTGGGTTGGAACCAGGGGCTTGAAACAGGGTTGCTGAAAGGCTTTTTACTTTGCATTGTTTTAATTTTTTAATCAATCCCATGTAGATATTATCTACTAAAAAGCAATTGTTAAAAATAATGTTTAAGAGACTTTGTTTCTTCCTGGAGGATGGAGGGCTCTCTGGTGGAATCTGTGGGGCGGGACTGAAGGATCCAGAAGCCCTGGGGCGGATGTTGGTCACTGGATAAACTGACTGACTCTAGGCCCGCCTTCAAGTTGGAGTGGCTGGAGAATACACTCTGGCCAAACAAACCAGCTTTGCGAGCAGTTAATCCATCCAATCTTCAGAGAGGGATAGGAGCTGGGGGAAGGGGGACCACAGCACAGGACTCTGGGTCCTGTGCTCGCAGGATGACCGAGGTCTTCGCGGGTGGGGCTGGGGAGTGACCGAAGCCTGGACCTCGGATGCCCGCGGGCGCAGAGGGAGCAGGATCGCGCAGAGAGCGTTGGATGAGACGCCCGCCACCCGATGGGGGTTCAAGAGAGAGAAAGGGTGCGCGGCTCCGCAGGCCACCGTAGACCTGGGGCTGAACCGCAGACCCTCCGCACCCTGACCCCGAGGACGCCCCGCCTCCAGACCGACAAACCGGGGGGATCCGGGGTTGAGGCGGCGGGGGGCGGGGTTCGGCCCCCACGGGGAGGCCGAGCAGGCGTGGGGCGCCTCCTGGTGGCCCTCCGTGAGAGACGCAGGCCTTGAAGAACCAGCAAGCCCTGGACCAAGTCCCACCTTCCCCGCACCCCAGGGAGGAGTGGGGGCGCTAACTAAACCCACGGGTCTCACAGGTGGAGGACAAGGGATTCGAACTGGGGAGACCCAGGGGGAGATCTTGGGCGGTTGAAGGAAGACCTCAGTGACGGGGGCTACCCCAGGGACCCCTGCCTGCGGGAGTCAGTTTCAGAAGCACTGCCCCTCACGACGACCCCATGCCTCCCAAATCCCCTCCCTCTGGCCTCCCCAGCGGAAGGGCACAGCGGCCTGCCGCCTGCCGTGTGTTCTTGTTGGGTTCAGGGAGTGAGCCTTCAGCGTTTTCTGCCCTCGCCCGCCGTGTATTTCTACCCTCCCCCTCCCCTCCCCCTTTTCCCCAAGATAGCTACTCTCTTGTTCTCTGCAACGTCCTTTACCTACTTCAGCCCTGAACCTGGGCAGACTTGCCCATCTGTAAACTCCTGAGTGAGCAAAGTCAGCACCGATGAGGCTGAGTGGGACCAGAGGGCAGCGTTGCAGAAGGTGGTGCTGGAAGGAGGGGGGCACAGAAAGTGGAGGTGGCTAGGCTCCCGATCCCCACTCTCTGAGACATGGGGCCCTGGGCCTGGGATTTGGGGCTCCCCCTCACCCAATCATCATGCCTAAGAATCTCCCCTCTGGGAGGCTCCCAGGCCTTCCCTGCTTCCCAACTAGTGTGTGCGTGTGTGTGTGTGCACGCGCACACATACACACTCACATACACTCACACACACACACACACACACACACACACCAGGCTGTGCTGGTCCTCTGAGCAGAGCATCTGAACCAGGCCATTCCGGGCTTTATCAAGTGTTTGCACGTTCTGGCTCCACTGAGCCTCAAGATCCGCCCATACTGCAGATGAAGAAACTGAGGCATGGAGCGGTCGATGGCTTTACCAAAGTGAGTCAGGATCCCCAAGTTTACGCACGAAGCCCGCTGAGGAGTAAAAGGGGGTGTGGGGACTTGCTCCAGGTTTCATCTAACTGACATGGTCATGGCTGGGGCCTGGGGGAAATATGACAATTAATGACAATTTGTGAAGTTTGCTGAACCATTAGGATGTGCCAGACCCGATTCTAGGCATCCTGCAGGAACTGACTCAGGGAGCCCTCACAGAAGCTTCATGCTGAAGCGGCTATAAGCACCCCACTTTACAGATGGGGTCTGACAGAAGCACAACAGAGGTCACACAACCTGCTGGGGTCATGCCACAGAAAGGATGAAGCTAGGACTTGGACCCAGGCAGGCCAGATCTGCTGTCTGGGCCAGTACTTCTGAGGTGATGCCAGAGGGGCAGGCCACCCCGAGGTCTGTCTCTGTCCTTTTTGCTCTTTCTGAACCACCTTGTCTCTAAGTCTTATTCTGGGCTTGCCCCATCTTTTCCTCCTCCAGAGTCCCCTCAACCCAGCAAACGCTGTCTCATGGGGCCCAGGCTATTGTGTACCAGGGGTTCAATGGGCGGGGGTGCTCCTTGAATGGTGTGGGAACTTGAAGCTGGAACTTACCCTTTTGTATTGGCCCCCTTTCTCCATAGAGCAGGCAGTCCATGTGGCTGAAGGCCTTGCCCATTGACCTAAGCCAGTTCCAACAGGGCCACCACCCTACCCAGTGCCCTACCAGCCCAGGAGGCTCCGGATCAAGTAGAGGGACATCGAAGACCAAGGCCTGCCTTGAAGCCAGGCCTCCAGCCTGGAGGCCGAGTCCCCCTTGGTGGCTGGCCTGCTCTGCTGGGCTGCAGCCTTGGCTAAGGCATCCTTGCCTGTACTCTGTACAGGCATCTCGCCTCTTTGCACACCCCAACCCCACAAGTCTCCATCCCCCCACCCCCAGCCCCATTTCTTCATTTCTTCTTTCTCCCAGCTGTATCTGTATTTCTGGGTATCTCTGTGGTCTGTCTGTCTCTCTGCCATCCTGCACCCCCACCCACGGTGTCCCAAGCCCTCTCTCAACCCCTCCACCCCCAGGCTCTCCCACCGTCCCAGAGCTTGGTCTTCAGGAAGCCTCCTTCTCTCCCTAGCTCTCTTCTCAGCCTTGCTGGGGGCGGAGTGGGAGCAGGAGCACATTTCTTGTCGTCCAGGCTTAATATCTTAATGCAAAGCCATTACTCACCCGGAGTCCAGGCAGGGCAGGCCTCTCCCCTCCTCGTTTGTCATCCAGAGTGAAGCCTCTGCGTTGTTCCTCGGGGATCAGATTAAGGCACTGACAGGCCGGATGAACAAATTTAGCTGCCAGTGCCGCCGCCTCCTCGTTCCCTCCCGCCCCAGCCTCTCAGGCTCCCGGCCCCTTGAACTTTGAGTAAGGGGAGGTCTGAGGCCTCAGGCAGTCCTGTTTCTTGGTTCTGGTCCTCCTCACCTGGCAAGGGGTTGAGGGATGATGGGCGATTTTCTCCTGAGTGAGCGAGAGAGAAAAGGAGCTAGGTCCAGAGTGACCAGGACCCCTGGGAGCTATTGGACATTTACTATGAAAATAGAACAACCAACACTATATATGTCGTCCTTAAAGCCTGCCAGGCCTGTTCGAAGCCTGTTACTTGACTGTATTCACTCATTCAGGCCTTGTAACAACCCTATGAGGCAGGTACCATTAGTATCTTCTTGGCAAGGCTCAGAGAGGCTCAATGACTTGCTCCAGGTCACACAGATAGTGAAGTCTATGTGCTAGTTATGGTGCTTTACATTTTTGTTAATTTTCTCAGCACAATATCTGTGGAAACCAACAAGGACCTACTGTATAGCACAGGGAGTGCAGCTCAGTATTCTGTAATAAACTAAGTGGGAAAAGAATCTGCAAAAGAATAGATACTTACATGTATTTTTAAAATCTCTTAATACTATAATCATTCAAGAGGAGATATCTAATCTGACATTGTCATGAGTAGAATAAGTATTATGTAAAAATCATGGTTATAATAACAATAATTTCAGCTGAAATAAAGGCAAAACAGTATCTGTGGAGACGGATTAGTGTCATTCCCCTCTTACAGATGAGAAAACTGAGGAGTTTGCCCAGATCTGGAGCCCTCTGGTACGGCTCTGTATCCCACCCTGGTCCTGCCTTCCCTTTCTCTTGCGTCCCAGGGCCAGGCTTGTCTCTGTGCTCAGCCATTTTGGGGAAAGCAGTAGTGTGAGGCTTCCTGGCTTGGGCTGTCTGCCCCTCAGCCCCATCTCTGGAGCCACATCCTCCACCAGAGCTCTCGGTTTGCAGGGGCAGGGTTCAGAGTAACCCATCTTCCTTGCCCCTCTCTCTGGCCTTGTCACTGGGCATCTGCTGCCTGGAACCCAAGTCCCAAAGCTGAAAGCCGAGAGGTGCCTCCATGGGAGGGGCAGAGGAGGGGCTGCAGAGCCCACCTGGAGCTTTCTTGCTGCTGCCTGGACAAACTCTTTCCACTTTCCACATCAGCCTGGTTCCCATAGTAACCACTGGCTTGCTGTCTCCTAGCAACTGAGTGGTCCTCAGAGTGGGAGGCAGAGCAGTGGAGAGTGGCTGTCATTTGAGGCCAAAGAAGTTGAGTTCAAATCCCAGCTATGCCAGGTCATAGCTGTGAAGTCTTCAGCAAGTCACTTAACCTCTCTGAACCTCTGCTTTCTCATTTGAGAAATGGGATATTGTTCAAGGATGAAGCATTTACGATTAAGTCAATCATCTGGGAAACTGTGAAGCTAGGCAAAGGTGTGGAATGAATGAGAGAGGGCCAGTGGGGTACTGCTAGATCTGGTAGGAGCAGTGGAAGGTGGGGCCTGGGTTCTAGGTGGGATTCTGGAATGGGTGGGCCTCCCCACATGAAGGACCCCACCTGGCAGCCCCCCTCAGACTTCCTGACTCTTCAGACAACCACAGTCCAAAATCCGATGCTTTCTGTCATCATTTGCCCAGGGACCCTTCTAGAGGAACCACCTCGACAACAGGTCTGCCTCCTTCTTAAAACTACAAGATATAGGCTCCAAGAATTGGGTAAGTTCTAAGCTCTGTACCTATGTTATTTAATTTTACCCAATAAGACAGGCTTTTCAAAAATTCATCCCAGTGTCAAATGTGAAAACTAGGACTCAGAGAAGTTAAATTACATGGCAAGCTCTGGAAGCTGAGGGGAGACACAGCTGATACTGGAACCTCACTTCCTAACGTCTTTCCGGGGCTCTCTCCTACGAGTTAGGAAGGAATGGGCGAGGGAGGGGTCACCTAAGGATGGAGGTGCTGGGAGAGGGAGGGAGGGGGCTCCAGGTCAGGGCCGGGAGCACGCGAGGTAAGGGATAGTGTCAGGGTATGGGACAAGGAAAGCTCCCGGTGCCCAGGGAAGCTTGGGGGGCGGGCGAGGGGGATGAGGGACGAGGGAGGGGCGGGAGGCCTCCGCCCTGGGGACCAGGAATTAGCCGCGTTTCTCCGCACCGATGGGCGGAGGCGAGGGTGGAAGGGAGACGGGCAAGCTCAAGGGGCAGGTTGGAGCCGGCTGCCCGAGAGTCCCTGGATGGAGTCCGCAGAGGTCCAGCCTCCGGCCAGTCCGTCAGCTCCCTCGGCGGGCGCTTGACCCTCGGTCTCTGCCCTCGATAGATTGGGAGGGGACGGGGAGGCCGAGCGGGTCAAGGATCAATATTAGCGAGAGAGCTCGTACTCCCGTTCCCTGTTTGGGTGCGCATCTCCCAACCCACGCAGCTGAACACCCGCCATGCTCCCGCCCAGCCCCCTTCTCGGGCCAAGGCCGAGGTCGCTGCTGCAGCTCGGGCCGCTTGATTCAATTAACTAATTCCCGACAAGACAGATGTGCAATTCCGCGTTGCCTGCCATGAGAGGAGATGGAGCTCCTCGCGGGCGGGGGAGGGGGGGCAGAGGTGACGTCACGGCTCGGCGATGACGTAATGGGCGCCGGCCTGGAGTCCCACAGCGAACCGGCCCGCCTGGGTCTCTGCAGTGAGTGTGTGCTTGCGTGTGTCCGCCTGTGTGTGCGAGTGCACACCTGTGTCTCCGGGCGCTGCGCCCCGCCCCTCCCCCCTCGGGAGGGACGCCCTTGGAGGTCTCCGCTGCATCTACCATTTGGTCCAACAAGATCCCTAAGGGTGCGACCTGCCCCTCCTCTCCTCCCCTCTTTCCTCCTCTTTGCCCTCTGAATTTGCCTCCCTCCCCAGCCTTGCTCCCGAGTCTCTTACCTTGGTGGAGTTTTCTGGTGAGTGCGTGCAGAGTGAGGCCCGCGCGTGTGCCTACACACCCAGGCGTGCACATGCGGGTGCACACAGGGCCCACTCGGACACAGGTGTATGCCCACAGGCGCAGGCTTCCAAACATGTGAACAGTGGAGCCCCGGTGCATAGAAAGGGACCCAGGGGACCACAGCAGTCTCCCAGCTACACATCCACACCTGTGCACACATGCACAGCTCTAGGTCTGACTGCAGGGTCCTGCAGGCCCCCCCAGACCTTCAGCCCCCAGCCTCTTGTGGGAGGGGAGCATTGAGGAAGGGGTGGCAGAGCGGGAAGGGAGGCCCTGTCAAGGACACCAGCAAGGAAAGGGGGGAAAAAAATGAAGTGGAAGAAATAAAATCAAAAGGCTTTTAAGGCTGCTCTCCCCAAGTAGTTGATGTCTTGGCTGCGATTGCCGGCAATGAAATATTGTGCTCTCTGATCGCTTAATGCAGGGAGCCCCGCAGCCCCCCTCCCCCAACCCAGAGGCAGTCCCCTCCCCTCTCCTCCCTCCCTCCTGCTTCCCTCCTCTCCCATCTTCCCTGGCAGATTTGCCTCCTGGCTCCAGGAAGGGTCCAGAGAGTGTGGTGGAGGGCACAGCTGATGCCCACTCCCAGCCTGGCACCGACCCCAGGACATGCTCAGGAAGCCCCAGCTGGCACCGGGGGCCCCAGCCCAGAGCCTGGGCAGGAGGGGCGAGCCAGCTCTGGGCTGGGACTCTAGCTCGTGCCTGGAGGTTGTGCCCAGGGCTCTCCTTGCAGAGATGTTGGGTTTGGGGACTTGCACCCGCAGCCGGGAAGAGAGGGACGTGGAGACCTGTGTCCTGACAGGGATCCCCAGCACCCTGGAGGGGCTGAGGCTCTTGGAGATTGTGTGCGGGTGGGGGGAGGGGGTTGGCTAGGCGGGGATGGGTGGATGGGTGGAGGGAGCCCTGGCCTGATTCTCAGCCTTTAGTTAGAAACTGAGCTTAGGAATGTTTAAAAGACCTGGCTTTCAGCCTCAGCTCCATCACTTCCTGGCTCTGTGACCTTGGGCCAGCTCTGAGCCTTCTGTGCCCGAGTCCCACACCGGGGAGGAGGAAGCAAATAATAGAACTGGCCTCAGAGGGTTATTGGAGGATTAGAAGAGAAAATATATGCAAAGTGCTCAGCATAGGGCCCATGCACAGGGAGGGGGATGCATAAGTGGGGCTAATTATCTCTGTAATTTCCCCACCGACTCCACTTCCCCCCCATGCCTGGACTTCGAGGGGCCTGAAGCAGCCTCAGAGGTGGTGCAGCCCTCCACCCTTCTCCTCCTCCTCGTCTCTCACCCTTGCTTCCACACCCCACCCCACCCCCAGGCAACTGTTCTCTGCGCCTTTTCTGTCAGGGCAGCCAAATTGGCCAAATCTCCGTAATGCTAAAAAATTGGCCCATTAGCCGGCAGAGAACACAGACGGAAGGGGAGAGCGGTGTGCATCCCTGCCACAGATGTGCAGGGACGGGTGGGGTGTGTGGGGTAGGTCTCCCCAGGGATCCAGCAAGGCCCGGGGAATGGTCAGCTGCCAGTGTGTGTGTGTGTGTGTGTGTGTGTGTGTGTGTGTGTGTGGTTGGGGCCCCACTCTATGCCAGACTGTCTGCTGGGGGCTTTCATAGCATCACTTCATATAATCTCAGCAACAGTCTTGAGACTTTGACCCTGTAGTTATTCCCGTGTTGCAGATGAGGAAACTGAGGCTCAGAGACAAGACATTCTCAAGTTAGGTAGCTCTGTGTGTGTGAGGGAGAGGACTTACACCCTGGTCTGAGACTGCTGGCCCCCTAGGTGTCCCGGTGACCCCCGAATCCCCCAGGAGCCTGGCTCCTGAGGTCTCTGTCCTGCCTCCTGGCCCTGCCCACGGCGGGGGGTTTCTCACTGCACTGGGGCAGGTGACAGACCGAGAGGTCACCTTGTTGGGATCAGCCACACCCAGCTGCTCCTCGGTGGAGAGAAGTGGGGTGTGGGAGGAGTCCTGGGTGCCCAGAGGAGGATGCTGGAGGGAGATTGACGGCTCCAGCCTTCCCTGCTGGAGGTGCTCAGGGGAGGACTGCCCACCTGGGCATGATCTCAGATATTATTGTCCCCGTGTTTGGATGAGGAAATGGAGGCTTAAAGAGGCCGAGTGATGTGTTCACAGCTAGGAAATGGTGATGAATCCATATTCATCTGACTCCAGAGCCTGAGATGTTTAATCCTTTTGCTCCAGCGATGGAAAGCTACCTCACTGGGTGTCATGTCCTATTCAAGGACAGCTTTAATCCTGAAATTGTTTTCATTCACTCTTTCATTCTATAAATATTAAGTACCTCCGAGTGCCAGCACTGTGGTCCGTGGACACGTGATGGGTAAGACCCTTCCCTGTGCCCGGCCTGGCTGCTGCCTGCAGCTCCCTCAGACCTGCAGGCCCTGGGCAGACCCTGGCAACCTCTGTGCTACTCAGCCATCTCTGCTATTCCTATCCTCTCTTGATCTGCTGACACACAGATGCTAGTGTCCCCAAGCTCTGTGGGCACCGGTGTCACCATGCCTGCCCTTAAGAGGCTGAACCGGCTGCAAATGGTTCCTTCTTCTGCAGCCCCCAGCCTTCCCATGCCATCAGACCTCAGGCAAGGCAGCAGGTACCAGCTGTCCCCTGAGGATCTGACTGTCCTCTTGGCCCTCCCGAATGCCCAATACAGCGAGGTCCATGCTCCGGGTTGAAGAGAGAAAAGCTGGGAGGCTTGGGAGCAGCCTTCTCTCCTGGCTACCATCTAGTCCCGTGTCCTGAGATATCACCAAGGGCGCTGCTGAGCTGCATACCCTGCCCGCCCTGTGCAGCCACCGCCCTGCCCACTCTAGGTCTGACTGTTCACCCCCGACTTGGCCACCATGTGCGAGAGATAAATGAGCTCCCAGAGTTGTGGTCCAGAACGTGAGGGGATGGTGAGGGAGATGCAGCACTCTGGCCTCTGTTTGGCTGGAGACAAGATTAGAATCCAGCTTCTCAAGTTGTACAACTCCTATAGACCATTTTCTTCCCTCCAGCCCTGGCAAAGGTCAGCCACAGGGAGGCTTGGGCAGGACTGCCAAGGCCCAGCAGGGCGATGGGATGGCTGGCGGCTGCTGGGTCCTCGGGAAGCTGGGCCAGGAGGAGGGGAGGTCTCTGATTGCTAACTCCTGGGTAGACCAGGTGGCTCTCTCCCCACTGCCTTTTCCCCTTGTCCTCTGGCTTGATTCCATAGGCTCCTCGACTAAGAGGTGGTGATGTATATTAGTTATGACTTTGGCTTTATTATTGGGCCGTTTTTAGTTCAAGCTCTTCCTCTGCTACTTGCTAGCTTTGTGACTTTGGGAAGCTCCTTCCTTATAAGCCTTGGCTTCTCTAATGTGAAGTGGAGGAATAATACTGGCACCTACTTCTTGGGTATTATGAGGGTTCAATATGATAAAGTGTACATATTATTGGACTGCGAGGAGATCAAACCAGTCAATCCTAAAGGAAATCAACCCTGAATATTCAGTGGAAGTATTGACGCTGAAGCTGAAGCTCTAATACTTTGGCCACCTGACGCAAAGAGCCGACTCACTGGAAAAGACCCTGATGCTGGGAAAGATTGAGAGCAAGAGGAGAAAGAGACACAGAGGATGAGATGGTTGGATGGCATCAGTGACTTACTGGACATGAGTTTTAGCAAACTCTGGGAGATAGTGAAGGACAGGGAGGTCTGGCGTGCTGCAGTCCATGGGGTTGCAAAGAGTCTGACATGACTTAGCAACTGA